GTCCGGGGTGATGTCCGCGAAGGGGACATCGTGAGTGGCGAAGTCCCGGGCGAAACCTGTAGAGAAGGCGAAGTCGGGGATGCAGGGCGCGCCGCTAACGGCGAAGACACCGGTGGCGCAAGAGCAGTCGACGAAAGCGCTGATGCCGGCGTTGCGGATGGCGGCGGCAGCAGACGCGCGGCGGTCCGGGTGGTCTTGTTTGTCGAGCGGGACCTGCTAGAGCGACGGGCAGGCGACGATGTCCGAGGGACGATGGTAGCCCTGTCTCTTATACACATCTAGATGTGTATAAGAGACAGNATGAGCGGTCCCTGCTCCGGAAGCGAAGACAAAACGTGCACATATCTAGTCGCCAAAGACGCGACAGGAGACATCACGCGGGACGCATCCAAAGTCAATGAGGAAGCAGGCCCTAAAGATGCAAAAACAGGCGAGACGATAAAGACCCCCGGGGACCGCTGATAGTTTTCGCAGGCAATCTTTGAGTCCGTCAGAGCATCCACCCGACGCGGGTGATGTCGGCGAAAATCCTCAAAATCGGAGGGCTGCAACGCTGGGGGCGAAAAGACTCCTGGCGTGCAAGGAGGGCGGAGCACACCCACACCGACCTCCGGTGTAGACGGCGGGTGATAGTTGCGCCCGCAAGCCCAAATGAGGAAAACACCCGCTTGATCGACACCATCAATGCAGTCGGTGCCGGTTTTGTCCGTGTCTTGTGCTGGTAAAGGCAACCGCGAAAGAAAATCCGCGTTGCCGTTTGCCGAACCTTTCCCATATTTCAGGGTGTAGGTGAAGTTGGACAGGAATTTCAGCCATCGCTGCACTCTAGCGTTGTGTTCCTCAACCTTGCCAATGCTCTCCAATGCTTTTTGGTCCGAATAGATGATGAACTTGGTCAACCACAGATTACCGCGAAGGCGTTTGATGGCCCAAGCAATGCCACCAGCCTCCAGATCCAAAACGGTCCAGTTACGCTCCGCAGGAAGAGTAGCGCGGCTGATGTACACGATGGGTCTCACCGAGCCATCGAGCTGTTCTTGTTCCAAGGAGGCGCCAAAACCGTCGATACTCGCGTCGGAACACAAACGAAGAGGGCGGCTGTTGTCCTCGATTGCTGCCCAATTCGGGAAGACCAAAATCGGGGGGCGAGCGAGTTCGCTTAACAACGTTTTGACAACCTTGACCATGCCCGGGGTGTACTTGAAGGGGACGCCTTGTTTGAGAAGAGAGTTGAGAGGCCGCACCTTGGTGGCGAGATTCTTGAGGAATTTCCGGTAGTAACTGAGTCCACCGAGAAGGCTCCGAAGCTGCTTAACATTCGTCGGCGGCGGCATGTGCGTGAGCGCCCTAACCTTGACGCCATCAGGGCTAACACCTGCCGGAGAGATGGTGTGACCGAGAAAGTTGGCGTGCGTGGCGCCGACGCGACCCTTCCCTGGAGACAGTTTGAGGTTGTACTGTCGCAGTCGTTTGAAGAACTCGATCAAGTTTAGCACGTGTCCCAGAGGTTCCTCATCGAAACAGATGACATCGTCCAGATAAGCCAGCACACGCTCCAGACCGTGCACCACTCTGTTGATGACCTTGACGAACCAAGACGGACTTGCGTTGGCGCCCTGCGGCATCCGAAGCCATTCGAACAACTGCGTGGGAGTGCAAAAGGCGGTGAGCGGGACAGTGTCTTCATCACAAACGATGTGGTGGAAAGCGGAGTTGAGGTCGAAGATGGAGAACACTTTCCCGGTGTACAGAGAATCCAAGATACCGTCCACTCGAGGGAGAGGTTGTCCATCCAAATCCACCAGAGCGTTGAGACGTTTGTAGTTGACGGTGATGCGAACAGATCCGTCCTTCTTGGGGATGACAACTAAAGGAGAAGCCCACGGAGATGTGGAATGTTGAATGAGCCCTGCCGCCAAATACTGGTCCAAAACGGCATCCACTTTCTTTTGCATCAACGGGTTGATACGATACGGGCGTGATGCAACGGCCTTCGTCCCTGCTGGGACAGTAAGCGTGAACGGCATTATGGTGCAGGAACCAAAATCGGTTTCCGAAGTAGAGCACACGTCAGAACATTCAACAAGGGCGTCGGCCAAACGATCAATAGCCTCCGGTGTCCATCCCGGATTGTGTAGATCGAAAGCGATGTCGTGCATATGTGCGGGCAGCCTAGCCCACAAGCGCATGAAGCTGGAGCACTGAGCCTCAGAGAAGCGGTCGAGTAGTTCTTGTGGAGGCGGCTTCGGAAGCGGCGGGGCGGAGGCTGGGTCCGAAGAGCAGTGAGTCCCGGACTTGGGGCCAACGGCGTTGGCCCGAGGTGGTGATGTAGATGTTGTGGGGCCGGTAGGAATCGAAGACGGTGCCGCCTTCAGGGTTTCCACCGGTACTCGTAGTTGCGGCGCGGCAGACACTCCAATTACGTCTCCCGCCTCGAGCTCGGCACAACCTGCAAGGGGAATACGCTGGAGACCATTTGAAACGAACGCATCTGGGGACGAAAGCGCACCCACTTCGGGTTTGAACGATACCAGATACTCTCCAATCAGTGCAGGCATGCCAGAAGAACGAACGAGGTTCACCTCAACGAGTGCAGGCTCCGGCCCCAAAGAAATTCCCGAGCTCCCAGCGTATTTAAGGTGAAACGAGGAGGTAGGAGCGTCGCCGTGTGTAGCGTAAACGCAAGCGCCAGCTGTAAAACGCGGAGAGAGCGTGAGCTCGCCCATAACCCGGCCGTCCGGTCCAGGGAGGGGGAGGGTGGTGAACACGATANAGGAATCGAAGACGGTGCCGCCTTCAGGGTTTCCACCGGTACTCGTAGTTGCGGCGCGGCAGACACTCCAATTACGTCTCCCGCCTCGAGCTCGGCATAACCTGCAAGGGGAATACGCTGGAGACCATTTGAAACGAACGCATCTGGGGAAGAAAGCGCACCCACTTCGGGTTTGAACGATACCAGATACTCTCCAATCAGTGCAGGCATGCCAGAAGAACGAACGAGGTTCACCTCAACGAGTGCAGGCTCCGGCCCCAAAGAAATTCCCGAGCTCCCAGCGTATTTAAGGTGAAACGAGGAGGTAGGAGCGTCGCCGTGTGTAGCGTAAACGCAAGCGCCAGCTGTAAAACGCGGAGAGAGCGTGAGCTCGCCCATAACCCGGCCGTCCGGTCCAGGGAGGGGGAGGGTGGTGAACACGATAGAGTTGAAGCGCATCCAGCTATCACGACCCAGAAGCACGGCGTGCCCCATGGCGGCGTCTGGAACAACACAGGCCCAGAACGCCAAGGAAGCGGTAGCTCTATCTCCATGGAGAAAATTAATGGTGAGACGAATCGACCGGGTGGTCACAAGGGCGGGTCGATCACCAAACCCACCCCAACGACGAGAGGGCGAAACACGAACGCTACCAGCTGTCAGGGCTCCGGCAGCTATCATGGCGGTGACCACGGAGTCGGAAACGAAGGATGCAGGAGACCCAGAGTCCAGAAGCGCCACTCGCGCGAGTTGAGAAGTGGCTGTAGGTCCTCCATGCAGCAGGACCCGGGTGGTGTATGAGTCCGAGTCCAACAGGAGCGTGCCGCCGACCAGATCGGGTCCATGTTCGAGAAGAGGAGGCTGGTCTGCACAAGCGGAGGTCGATGCCACCAGATGAACGCCAGGAGCATGGTCCCCCGGAGCGTCCAAACGTAGACAAGCTGGGTCTTCGCCCGGGTCCTTCCGTAGCGAAGAACCTGTAGCAGTAGCAACCTCATGAATGCGTCGATGTCCATGGAGAGGAGGCTGCGAAATGGGGGGCGTGGGAGAATTGGAAGCGGGGAAATCTTCGCCAGAGAGGGGAAGATCACGCAAAAGGCGTCGAACTTCCATCAAAGCTTTTCCCAACAAGTTTTTACCGCTAGCCGCCCACTTGGATGAATCGCTAGCATCTGGAAAGCATGCAGACATGCCGATACCCCAAACACGATCGAAGGGGCTGGCTTCTGCAAGGAGGCGGGTACCCGTCTCCAGTAGATGATGTTTCATGTCATGGTTTTGAGCAAATTTGGCGTACGACCCCGTAAGCACGATCTCTTCACGACGACGCTCCCATTCAGCATAGTCGAAGTGACGCACATTTCGACCTAAAACCTTGTGTGTCATAGGATCTGTTGCAGCCATAATTTTGTCATACGACGTCATATCTCCAAACAACTTCGCTTTTTCAGACATCATGAATTGCTCACCACATGAATAACGTACCCCCAGTACGTCAAAAGCCGAAGGAGTCCATTGCGAGAACACAGACGGAGGTTTCCAGAAAAGAAGGACGTCATCCGAAGCGTACTCGCACTTGTCATCAAACGGCGGAGCCGGTGCAGGGCGAAGGGGCAAAGAGCGGGCACCAGGCACAGGCGGGGGTGGACCAGGCGGACGGGTCCTCTTCTCCGACGGGGAGGACCCAGAAAGCGAGGCAGGAGCGGGCGAAGTCGCAACGCTCCGTGATCCGGAGGGCGGCCTTAGGGCGGCGGCTCCGGCGGGGTCAATGTTAGCAGAGGCCATTCGGCTATTAGAGACCCGTTCGTTAGGAGAAGTCATTCCTGCAACAGACGGATGTTTGATCATTGACGCAGGGCGCTCTTGACTACTCCCCCTTGACAAAGGAGCCGAACCTTCCACAGAATGGTGGGCACTACCATCCGATCCCGATGGCAGTGGTGCAGTCAGCACGTGGTGGGCAGCAGAGGAAGACGCATTCGTATCAGGTGCTGTTGCACGGGGGCAGCGGACGGTCGAAGACAACGAAAGCTGCGAAAGAGAAGGAGGATCGACGGGCTTCCCGACGAGTGTAGAAGAAGGCTCGTGTGCGATCCGAGAAGAGGCCCGGCTGACAACACCAGGAGAGTCTTGACGAATAGTAGAAGACGAGGTTCTTGTTCCTTCTGTAACCCGAGACGACGAGGTGAGCAGGGATGGACCGCTCGACGTCTTACCTCCCTGTCGCCCACACCACAAAGGTACTGTCGAAATGGGTCTGTCATGTCCATTACCAGCAGGCGATGGGCCGAGAAAGTAGATGTGATTTAGGAGCGTGGGGAGTATCCAAAGAAAGAGGCTGTACAC